TTTTTTTTCTTCAATTAACTTGTTCTTCAGGTCTTGTATACAAAGGAGTAACTTCTGTATAGGACACAAAAAAAAACAAACACAGATGGCCGATTAAAATTTTAATAAGTGAAATATATATAAAAACACTTATATGAAACAGCAAAAAGTAAATAAAACATTTTGAAATAAAAACTGTGCGCAATTTTAATAGTTATTTCAGGATATAGGTTTGAACTAGTGGCAGAAGGATTTTGGTCTGGTGTGTCTGAAGGGATTTAATGCTAAACTTGCAAGTATTTCTGTAGCCGCGGTGATTTCTTTTAACAGTACAAGAGTTTCTGGTGTGAAATGGAGTTTTGCTTTCAGCGGGACAGTTTTTACAAGCAAACAATTGTGCAATGGGCTCTAGTATAGAAAGTCAGATTGTTTCCCCCGCTCCCCATTGTGATAAAAGGAAACACCCATAGCCTAAAAAAAGTTTTTGGGTTGCAGTTTGACAGGTTTACAGAAGTCTTGGCTGAAGCTGTATATGTAAAAAAATAAGTTGTTGCTGTGAAAGAGACAGTTTAGAACAGCTAAGAAACAGGTTACTTGTATTTTGTTTGAAAGTTCCAAACCATAGCAAAGAATACACTCAATTGTACAAAGGCTCAAAAAAGAGGCAATCAGATGTTAAGGTTGGAAGAAGTTGAGGCCATAGCTAAGTGAAAACCTCCGCTTCATAAACACCCAAGAGCATTCCCTTCTTTGCATACTTTAAAGCAGCGCTGTTGAGACTAATGGGATTGTATTTTACTTGTATAACAAAATCTTTAAAACACATGTTATATGCATGTTTGTTTTATTCTATTTCCTTTGCATTATAAACTTTAATTGTTAAAACCAAATTTGCAATATTACATGTTTATGCTTCAGTGAGAGACCACTTCATTAAAAAACTAAAAACAAAAATGATCTATCAAGTCAGATTTCAATTTGGGATCTGAGTTGTCCAATAAAAACCATCAGCTGGGATCACAACACTCTGCTAAAACTGCTGTTTTGGTAAGAAAAAGGACACTTCATTTCTTGCAATGACACTTTAGTGTTCGAGTTATTTGGTAAACAACACCAAAAAGACCTTTGACCTTTCATCAAAAGACCCAACTGGATTTTCTTCTCCCCCCCCACCCCTCCACAGTTGAGGGGGAAAGAAAGCCAGAAAACTATAGACTATACTTGTGAACATGTTTCTTATCCAAGAACAGGTAAATAATGTCACCTGATACATTCGCATTGATTACATGAAGTCAGCTAGAACAAGTATCAGGCTGGATTCTCAACATTCAAAGAAGAATAGCAATCCAGAATCACACATTGTAATTGTGTGAAATTCCCCTCTTCAATCAATCACGAGGGAAGTAGTACTGAGCAGTTGATACGTTCAGTGCTGACTGCAGATGGAATTAATTTCTAGGTTCTTAAAAAAGATTGCTAATGAGGTGGTGGATGAATTGCTATTAATTTTCCAAAACATCCCAGATTCAGGAAAGGTTCCAGCAGGCCAAAAAGTAACAAATCTAATCCCTCTTTTGGGAAGTATAAAGCAGGAAACTGTGGGTCAGTTAACCTGAGATCTGTCCTGGAGAAGCTGATAGAATTGATCTTTAAAGAGATTTTAGGCGCACACTTGGAAAAACAGAGGTAAATCAAGAGTCAGGATGGTTTCGCCAAAGGAAAATCACGATTAACAAAAAAACTTATTGGAGCTATTTGAAAGATTAACATATGCTGTAGATAAAGTGGAGCCTGCAGACATACCATACTTCAATTTTCAGAAAGAATTTGATTAAGATTCTGCATCATAGGTTACTGCAGAGACCAGAAGCTCATCGTTTAGGGGTAACATATTAGCATAGATAGAAGATTGTTTTCCGCAAGTCAACCTGAGGAGCTTGCATTTAGTGGGTATTTGGTAGGAAATGACGAGTGGAGTCCCACAAGAGTCTGTGCTGGGGCCTCCACTTATTACAACTTGTACCATTGGATTTAGATGAGGGAGTAGAGACATGGTGGCTAAATTTGTAGATAACACCAAGTTAGGCAGGAACACATGTTGTGATGACAACGCAAGGAAGTTGTGGATGGATATACCTAGAGTGTGTGTACAAAACCTGGCAGATAGAGTGAGAAAATGTGAACTCTTGCAGGAAAAATAAAAGTAGTGATTTTTTTCAGACAAGAAACAAATGCAGAATTCAAACTAGCAGTGGACCTGGGTGTCTTGGGCATGAGTCACAAAATGTTGGTATGCAGGTGCAGAAAGTACGTCAAGGTGGTTCACGGGATGCTATCCTTTATTCTGCAAAGAATTGAACACAAAACCAAGCAAGCACACACATAGCTTTTCAACTATAGAGTAGAAAGTTAAATTTGCCATAGTCCTACTCAACCATACACTGCTCTCTCATTGGAGAGAATTGGCTGGTGGTGGTTTAAACCAAAGGTCACCATACCTCAGCCATCCAGCCAAGTGAGCTAACTGATCCCCTTCTAGTATACTGTGCATTGGTGAGACCACAACTTGAATACTTGCAGTTTTTGTCTCCTTAATAGAAGTAAGTGCGTTGAGGTGGCTCAGAAGTTTGCTAGGTTGATGCCTGGAATGAGCAGGTTCTCTTGTGGAAGAAGAATTGGACAGGCTGAGCTCATTTTCACTAGAATTTAGAAGAGTGAACGTTCCGAAGACAAAAAAGGTCATTTTTTGACTAGGCTGCCTTGCTAAAATCCAAATGGATCATCTAGACTGCACTGCTCTCAGTGGCTACATGGACTTCTTTAAGCTCACCTTTAAAAGTAGTTGGTAAACATTCCTCCACCATGATAGAGTCATTGCTTATGTATGACAGAGTGCAAGACAGAGCAGCACTGCTGGTAGATTGAATGAGTGAAGGCTTGGGCTGTAGTAGATCACTGCAATTACATTCCTTAAAGGACAGATGATGGGGTTATTGCTCAATAACTGGGAGCCAGAGTGGAGAGTTGATTGACGTAATTAGATACTGCCCATGTATTCAGCTGCTGCATTTTAAACCTCAGCAACCACTGCATTTTTAAGAGTTTATCAAGTTAAACAAATATCTAAAGAGGTACCTTCTCTATTATAAATATTAATACTTGAAGAGACCTTTCGCCCAAGCAGAAGGAACTGTACATCAAAGTACAAAATTCTTCAGTGGTAACATTAAATAAGATCCATTTACCTCATAGTTGTTTTTTCCTATTACTATTGTCCCTTCTTCCTCTTCATCATCATCCTCATCCTCCTCCTCCTCCTCATCTTTTACCTCAGTTGCATTAGTTGTCTCAGTATCCCCTTCCTCCACTTCAGCAACATCCTCCAGAGTAGCATCCCAAGACATAGTTTGTCTTTTTGCAAATGACGATGATTCATTTTCAGCATTGTTGATGATCAATGAAAGATCCCTGGCTGATCGTTTTGGAAGCGAGAGTGCAGGATGAAGCCTTGAACTATTGAGAAGAACCTAAAATAGAAACATTAGTTAAATCGGAGAGTGTTTAGTTTTGAGTCAAGGAAAACCAAAAATAAATTTTCACAAGTTAACTGCAAAGGCAGTGAATCAATTCAGTAAGTCTCTAGGATTCAAATGAAAAGCTGGAGAAATCACATCTTTCATTTATCCATATCACAAAAATACCACGTACATGAATCAAAACTGAAGAGAGAAGAAAATTAGTTCTGTTCTTTAAAAATTTCATTTCAAAAGAAAGTAACACCCAATTTACATTCTTATGCAATGCAAAATTTAAGCAAAATTGTGAATTCAATAATTAAGAACAAAGAGATCAGAACAAAGATAACGAAGGGAAAGGCACTATATTTATTCAAAAAGCTGAAATGAACTCTATTAACTTTTAAACAGCTTGCTTTTGAGTATTGTTTTAGATGGATGCAAAACCTGGACTTTATGGATGGGGCAACCAGCTTGTTAAATACCTTTGAAATAGGAGCTTAGAATAGAAAAGATCATCAGAACACGAAAAGTAACAGAATACACAAAAAAGGACTTAGACTTAGACATTGACAGCACAGGAGGTGGCTATTTTGCCCATCATCATGTCCACACTGGTCAACAAAGATCTGACTATATTAGTCCCACAGCCTTGGAAGAAATGGCAACACAAACGAATATCCAAATACTTCTGAAATGCTACAAGAGATTCTGGTTCAAATACTCTTAATGATTTAGTTCTCCCATCTGAATGAGAAAGTTTTTCAACTCTCCCCTTAGTCTGAATCTCTTAAGTTAAAATCTATGCCCCCTGGTTATCAATCCCTCTATTACTGGAACCATGATATGCCCATCATATGCCCCTCAATCTTATACGACTTGATCAGGTCCCTTCAACCTTCACTAATCCAAGAAGAAACAACCTATTTGATAATTCCTCATAGCTCAGACCCTCCAACCCAGGAAGCATCCTGGTAAATCTTCTCCAAAGCCTCTCAAATGTAACCACGTCCTTCTCAAAATGGAGTGAGGGAGTGAGAGTTGATTCCGAGATTAGGATCCCGAGTTTTAGTAATGGACTCTACAACGATATGAGGCTGTGATAGATTGGGAAGTGTTACTGAAATTAATGACAGTGGATAGATATTGGCAATTAAAGACCAAATGGGTGAACTAAAAGAATTGTCAATCCCTGTCAGGCATAAAAGTGCAAAGAGAATAGTGGTCAAACCGTGGCTTAGGATGGAAATTAGAGATAATATTAAATGAAAAAACAGGTATATAAATCAGCAAGACAGACAACAAACCCAATGATAGGGAACATTTTAGATGTCAGCAAAGAAGGACCAACGCCTTGATTAAGAAGGGGTGGGGGGGAGAAATTTAAAAGAGTGTATGAGAGTAAGCTTGCAAGGAACATAAGAACTGACTGTCCAAAGTTTCTATAGGCATGCAAAGAGAAAAAGACTGGTGAAAACTATTGTAGATCCTTTACTGACAGAAGAGAGAATTTATAATGGGGAACAAAAAAATAGTTGATAAACCAAATTCATTCTTCACTTCTCTCATCACAAAAGGAGAACATGAATAAAATGTACCAGAAACAATGGGAAAACAGGGTTGAGAGAGAAGAGAACCGAAACTAATCACTATTAATGGAGAATTAGTGTCAGGCAAATTGATAGGATTGAAGGATGATAAGTCCTCAGGGCCTGACAATCTATACCCCAGACTAGTTAAGGAAGTGACCCTAGAAAACGGTGGCTCAGTGGTTAGCACTGCTGCCTCAACGCCAGGGACCCGGATTCGATTCCGCCCTCAGGCGACAGTCTGTGTAGAGTTTGCACACAACCTCCCAGTGTCTGCATGGGTTTCCTCCGGGTGCTCCAGTTTCCTCCCACAGTCCAAAGACGTGCAGGCTAGGTAGATTGGCCATGCTAAATTGCCTGTCGTGTTCAGGGATGTGTAGATTAGGGGGATGAGATGCTCCGAGGGTCAGTATGGACTTGTTGGGCCAAAGGGCCTGTTTCCCCACCTGTAGGGATTCTATGAAATAGGGGATGCATTAGTGGTCATCTTCCAAGATTCTTTAGACTCTTGAATCGTACCTAAAGATTGGACATTGGCTAACGTAACCCCACTATTTAAAAAAGACAGGTAGAGAGAAAACTGAATTATAGATAAGCAAGTCTGACATTGATAGTGGGAAAGATGCTGGAGTCTATCAAGGATTTTATTGGAGAGCACTCAGAAAACAGTGGTAGAATCAGACAGACAGACAGACAGCATGGATTTACAAAAGGGAAATTATGCTTGACGAATCGACTGTAAATCTTCAAAGGATTTAACTAGCAGAGTTGACCAGGAAGTGCTAGTAGTGGTGGTTTATTTGAACTTTCAGAAGGTGATCAACAAAGTCCTGCAGAGATTAATGTGTAAATTTAAATTGCATTGGATTGGCCAGTAATGTATTGAGATGGATTAAAAAAAAAAAAATTGGTTAGCCAACATGAAACAAAGTAGGAATAAATAGGTCTTTTTCTGAACGGTAGACAGTGATTAGTTCGGTACCGCAGGGATCAGTGCTAGGACCCCAGCTAGTCACAATATTCATTAATGATGTAATAACCAAACACAAAATATGTCACTCAAAAATCTGCAGATGACACAAAGCTGGGTGAAACAATGAGCTGCAAGGATGCGGAGATGTTGCAGTGTGATTTGGACAGGCTGGGTGAGTAGATAAATGCAGGGAGATGCAGTATAATGTGGATAACTATGAAGTTATCCATTTTGGTAGAAAAAGTAGGAAGGCAAATTTTTTGAATGGCTATAAAATTGAGAGAAGATGTTCAACAAGACATAGGTATCCTTATGCACCAGTCACTGAAAGCAAGCACAAAAGGTGCAGCAGGCAGCAAAGGCGACAAACTGTATACTGGCCTTCGTGACAAAAGAATTGGAGTACAGAAATAAGGATCTCTTAATGAAAACATACAGGACATTGTTCAGCCACACCTGGAGCATTGCGCAGAGTTTTGGTTACCTTATCTGAGGAAGGATGTTTTTGCTACAGAGAGTGCAACGAAGTTTTACCAAACTGGTCCCTGGAATGGTAGGACTGATATATGCAAAGAGATTGAGTGGAGTTGATTAAGGTAGTGGTCACTGGGGTTTAAAGGAAATTGGGGCGGGGCGTGGAATCTTATAGAGACCTATAAAAATTCTAACAGGACTAGTCAATTTAGATGCAGGAAGGATGTTCCTGATGGTGGAGAAGTCATAATGTGGCAACCAGAACTGCACACAATACTCCAGTTTTGGCCTAACCAGCATTTTGCACAATTCTAGTATAATCTCCTTGCTCTTGTATTCTGCACCTCACCAGGCAAGTATTCTATATGCCTCAACAGCCTCAACTACTTACCCTACTACTTTTAGGGATTCGTGTATATGCACATCAGGGTCCCTCTGATCTTCAGTACTTTCCAGGGTCATACCAATCATTGTGTAATTCCTTGCTTTGTTAGGCCTCCCCAGGGCATTATCCTTATTTTTTCTGGTTTGAATTTCATTTGCCACTGCTCTTCCACCTGACCAGTCCATTGATATCCCCCAGGTTACACTGAAACTTTATATTACTGTAAATCCTCTGAAACCATGGTTATCTTTCAGTTAAATTAAACAAAGAGCTACATATGCTGGAAATCTGAAAGAAACGAAATTGCTGGTGAAACTCAGCAGATCTGGCAGCATCTGTGCAGATAAAACAGAGATAATGTTGAGAGTTTAGTGACCTTTTTCAGAAGGTTCTGAAGCAATTTCTGTTTTTGTTATCCAACAGTTGTGCAAGAGAGCAGTTATGGATTAGAAGGCACAAGTTTTAATCCATTCAGATAACTAACATACCTTTTGTGCCATTGCTGAAAACTTCAATACATTAAGTGTCTCATCATACATTGAAGCGCACTGATTGATGTTAACAATCATACAAACTTTTCCTCTCCCACAGAAAAACCCCTGGAAGTAGCGAGTAAGCTTACTTTCCCGAAATGGAACATGATTGTGTGTCCTAAGAGTCAAAGAAAGAGAGAGTTTATAGAAACTTGGAATTTATCATACAATAGATGCTGAAAATTTATGTGGTATTTACATTTTTCTGCATTTCTTCAGATCTCACTGGCAATTGGAACATAGGAACAAGACAAGAGAACCATCCCTCACTTTTAACTGTTATAAAATTAAAAATTGTAAAATATTAACTTTTCCCCTTAAACAGTACAAATGGCTGAAGAATTTTGTAAAACACAAATTGAGTTTTTAAAACCTGATATTGTTCCAAAATAGGATTTGCCAAGTAAAACTGTAGTTTATAGGCAACAGGGTGAAAATTAACCAGTTCAATCATGTTTAAACTTGATATGTACAAGATAAGAAACAGTTCATTCTCACCTGTTCCAGCCTATAGTCATTGTTCATGTGCAACAATTTCTTCAACTATACAGGACGTCAGCAATTGACCAAAACCACTACCTTTCAATAAAAGGTGCCTATTAATGAATTTCTAAACCACAAGTCTGCATTGTACATGAATATTAATTTTTCATTTTCTTTAATATTTGTCCATGAGGTGTGAGCGTGCTGGCTAGGTCAGCATTAAGTGCCCATCCCCATTGTCAGAGAGCAGTGAAAAAGACAACAAATTGCTATAGATTTGGAGACACATGTAGGCCAGACTAGGCAGGATGGCTGATTTCCTTCCCTATAAAAAAGGATATTAAATAAACCAGAGATAACAAGGTGTGGAGCTGGAGGAACAAAGCAGGCCAGGCAGCATCAGAGGAGCAGGAAAGTTGGCGTTTCAGGTTGGGACCCTTCTTCAGAAATGGGGGTTTTCTGAAAAGGGGTCCCACCCCAAAACACCAGCTTTCCTGCTCCTCTGATGCTGCCTGGACTGCTGTGTTCCTCCAGCTCCACACTTGGTTATCTCAGACTCGAGCAAATCGGCAGTACCTACTACCTCTATTTAATAAACCAAATGTGTTTTTACAAGAATCAATAGTGGTTACCATTTGGATAGCTTTTAATTCCAGTTTTTTTTCATTAACTTGAGAATTTCACAGCCTGCTATGGTACGTTTTGAACACTTGCTCCCAGAACATTAACCTAGGTTTCTGCATTACTACTATGACAATGCTGCAGAATAGTTGATCTCTTGTAATATTGCTAATAGTAAACTGGAAGACTTGATATTTTGTAATAATAGGGGTCGTTTAGAAGATTACATGCAACAGGAATTTACAATAGCCGATCAAATTATTCCATATTCAAGAATTTTCCTGGTGTTTTAGCATTTGAATTCTAATTTTTTAAATTTGGTGCAGTTCCTGCTTCATAGTAAAGTTGAGATTACATAGCAAGATCTTTGAAGGGACTACAACAAATTGGAGGTAGTCAGGAAGCATAGGATACTAGATTTTATAAATCCAGAATTGACTGAACAAGGAAGTCATGTGAAAGCTTTCCAAATCTTCAAAGTACATCCCAAGTTGGGTATGGTGTACTATTCTGACCACTATTATCTACTGGGGGATGACAAGGAGCAGGGGAGAGGAGCAAAGGAGCTAGGGGACTTCTTACTTTGAAATTTGATTATGTCTCAAAGCATTGATGCATTTTCCAAGAATCAGCAAAGAAGTGTTAATGTTCCCAGCTTCTTTCAATCTTTCCCCATCATTCTTTGTTTTTGTATTCCTCTCTGATCCCGCAAGATCACAAAGTGACATCCTGTAAAGTAAGAAGTTACATTACAAACTTGCAATGGAAACATAGGTTTAAACAATTTACACTGAACTTTCCAGAGGGTCTGCAAGATGAGGCATTTTGGAATCATGAGTTGAGGCAACAATGGTTGCAGTGGACTAAAATATTAAGTGTAAGATGCCTTAAAGTGCTGTTACAACCCTGGACAAGACAGCTAAATTTATGGAGCTAATATAAACGGTGGTTGAACACTCCCATAGTGCACTTCAAAACAGCAGATGTGATCAAGACAGATTCAAGCCTGAACAGAATGCCTTTTATATTTCCATTGTGTAGCTCATTCATAAAAAGGAAATCTAGTACAGCAGTTAAAAACAGAAAAGGTGACTTTCAAATGTTCAGATTCTTGAAATCTTTCACAGAATTCCAGATTCAGTGCTATTCTGATCAAATTTACAACTGAATTGATTCGGATGCATGTAGTTACAATGTTCCTCAGAATTTTATCTGCATTTTTTGTAGTGACAAGCAGCTCTTCGGAAGCGGTATAGTTGCTGGTAATGGTGGGAGCACAAGAAGTATACAGTCCTGGAATCCAGTCAAAAGCTTTTCAATCAAGATTTCTGGCTTATCTGGCAATTAAATTTACCAGAAACATGATCTAGCAAGGACAAGGAAGATGATATACAAGGCTTTGGGAGAGAATGGCTGCTAAGAAGCATAGTTTGTTAACTACATCATGTATAATTTAGTGTAATGAACTTTTCAAAAACATTCCCATTGGAATAACTTCAATTAAAACATGATTACAAGCTACAAAGAAAGTTCTTTACGTATACTACTTACTCAGTGACTCTTGAAACATGAGGTCCACCATCTACGACGTGCAAAATTCTTATTGAAAAAGTACAATGGCTGTAGAACAAACGTTTTGGAGAAGTTTTAAATTCAGTTAGTGATTCAAAGCATGGGTTTGCTCAGTGATATAGTCCAAATTGAAGCAAAAAAAATTCTTTAGAATTGTTACTAAACAACACTTGCATGAGTGGGCAAATTACCTTCTACTTGAAAGATTGTTGATTTTTGTGGAAGCAATGCTTTGCTGTTTTCTGCCTTGCTTTAATATTTTATATGCCTCTTCTGCATTAGAAACTTGAATCCACCTCAAATCTAAAATGAAAGATCAAACAACTAATTTGTATATAGCACTGCTAATGTGCTAAAAAAAAAAAAACACTTCACAGAACTATTATTGAATAAAACATGACACTGAACACATATTAGCACTAAAATGACCAAGAGCTTGGCCTAAGGTGGTCTTCAGGAATGTCAAAAGGAGGAAAGCAAGGGTGTGTGCATGTACATTTGGATACACACACACACACACACAGAGTACAGAGTGGGAGATCAACTAGATGTTTGTTAGCATAGTCGAGTCTCAAGGTAGCAAAATATGATAACAAGAGCTTCAGCAAGGAAGTAAGCGAGTGACGTTATGAGGTGGAAATATACCATCCTCGTGCTAACATGTATTCATGGTTGAAAGCTCATCTGAGAATCAATTACAACACCAAGGGTTCAACAGTCAGACCATTGCCAAGAGAACTGGTAGCAAGGGAATAGAGGTTTGAGTTTGTGATGGAGGGGCAAAGACATTGATTAAATAGAGATGACTGAAACCTAAGGAAAATGTCTGCCCATCCAGTACTGGATATTGGAGGATCTGCTAGTTCCCCTCCGAGCCCTCCACCATCTGATTTGGAAATATAAATCGCTGTTTCTTCACTGTTTTAGGTCAAAATCCTGGAATTTTTTCCCCAAAGGGCAATAGGGGTCTACCTACAGAACATGGACCGCAGGAGTTCAAAAAGGCAGCTCACCATCACCTTCTGATAAGCAATAAATTCTGGCTAGCCAGCAACAATCATGTCTCACGACCAAAACAAAACTAATAAAACTACAAAATGATATCCCCTTTAAACACATTAGAAAACACCATTTCGCACAAATCACAAACTGAAATAATGAGGAGTTATCTTATACTTTTAAATTGTTAAACTAAAACAGACAAAATCTTTTAAACTTGACATTCATAATGCAATTTGAGGGGTAGAAGTATGACACGGAGATAGAACTGGATGTCATCAGCATATACATGGAATGGGGATCTTGCTGTGCAGTGGTGTCATCCCTACCTTGACGCCAGGAGGCCTGGGTTCAAATCCAACCTGTTCCATGTGGTGTGTAATAACATCTCTGTACAGGTTGAATAGAAAAAAGTGTGGAAATGCCAGGATGGTCAGCATGTAAAATGAGAACTAGGAGATATGCAAGAAAAACCTCTGGTGGGGTGGGGGGGGGTCCACAATAACTAGTAGTGGATTGTGCAAGCCTTGGCAATGGACATTAGTGGTGACAGTCTGGCAACAGTCATATTAATAAAGAACAAAACCAAATAGGTTTACAGTTACACCCAAGAAGGGCATGAATTTGAGAGGCAGAACATGCAAGAACTTGATAGGAAGGGGAGATTGTAAATGGTATGGATATTTGCAAGCTCAAGAAGGATCACTTTTTTTAGGCAAGTCAACTATTTAAACAATGCCATTGAACATGACAAAAGGAACTCAGAGGGCATGCAAGGTAGAAAAGCTGGAGAAGAAAAACCAGAGAGGAATTCAGGACTAGGGCAGCCAGAAGGCATTGGGAATTTATGAAGACATTGTACGGAAAAACAATAAAAACTGCTCAGAGTGACAGGAAAATAAAGCTTAACATAGGTTCAATCTTGCAAGCTAATGCTAATAATAAAAAAGTTTTAACTTTATTTTTGTAAAGCTGTTGAAAAGTCATTTAAATACCTTTCACATAGGTGTTGCCTTTTGTATCTTGTGCAAATCGAAGTACTTTTCTTTTCTGACATTTATATGGTACCAGGTCAAGTAAATCATAAAGAGTTTCATTGTATATTTCACAAAATGAAACCCAGACAGAAAATCTAATCCTTTCTGGTGCATCAACAGCAACAGGTTCAGCAAAATCTCCCAAGGTCGCGAGCGGCTTTAGCAAACTTCCTGCTTTAAAACAAATAAAAATGCATGATTAAAGTAAGCCTGCATCATTTCAAAAAGAATATGATACCAATTTCTAAATGGAATCTCGAGCCCAGATTATTCACTGTTGATTTATTCTGTAAATTTCTATATTCACTCTTCAAATTCAAACATTTCTGAAGCAAGTTACTCCACTAGTATGGTGAAGTACACTCTACAAACGATCAGAATTCCATTAAGTTTTAAGTTAGTTATGGATAAGGATAAGACTGCTCCCTGATTGAAAGTGCTAAATTGGGGGAATGCTAACTACAACAGTATTAGGCAGGAACTGCAGAAATTAGATGGGGGGGTGGGGGGGGCGGGGTGTGTGGGTGGGTAAGAGGGTAGGTGTTTCAGGATAAATGTACATCTGACGTATGGGAGTCTTATAAAGGCTAGTTTCAGAATTCAGGACCAGCATGTTCTCCTGAGGATAGAAGATGATATTGGTAAGATTTGGGAATGCTGGATGACAAGAGATGTTGAAAAAAGGTTCAAAAAAAAAAAAAAAAAAAAAAAAAAAAACCCCGGATACGTATGCAAGGTTTAGGAAACAAGGCATTTGAGGAATATAAAGGAAGCAGAGTCAGTGCTGGCACCTCTTACCTGTAATATATATATAACTTTAATGAAAATGTAGGTGGCCGGATTAGTAAGTATGCAAGTAACACAAAAAATGGTGGAGCTGCAAATACTGAGGATGGTTATCAAAGGATTATAGATCTGTTGGGCAGAGAAATGGCAGAAGGAGTTTAATCCACATAAGCAAGGTCATGCATCCTGTGATCTCAGATGCAAGACCAAAGTATCCAATAAATGGCAGGACCTTTGGGGATCTTGGGGTGCAAGTCCATAGCACCCCAAAAGTGGCAACAAGGTGGCAAAGGTGACATATGGCATGCTTGCCTTCATTAGTCACGGCACAGAATATAAAAATTGGCAAGTCATAAGACGACTTTAGTTAGGCCATATTTTGGACTAGTGTGTGCAGTTCTGGTCACCACATGATAGGAAGGATTTGGAGGCTATGGAGAAGGTGCAAAAGAGGTTTACCAAGTAGTGTCTGGTTTGGAGTGTAGTAGCTAAAAAAGGAGAGGTTGGACAAACTTGGATTGTTTTCACTAGAGCGTTGAAGGTTGAGGGGTGATCAGATAGAAGTATAAAAAAAAAATTGTGAAAGGCATGGATAAGGTGGATAGTCGGAGTCTTTTTCCCAGGGTGGAAATGTCAAATACTAGGGGGCATAGGTTTATGGTGAAATTGGGGGAGGGGGAGTGTGGGGTGTTGGAGAGTTTAAAGATGTGAGAGGATAGAGGGTAGTTGGTGCCTGGAACAGGTGGCCAGGAAAGGTGGTAAAAGCTGATAATAGCCATGTTTAAGAGGCATTTAGAGACAAATACAGACCATTTCAGACACCTGAGACAAGTTTCGCATGGCATCGTGTTTGGCCCATTTCTATGTTGTGCTGTTCTATGTAGTACTCTTAACGTTTCTTAATATTTTACAAATATCTTCCAAATGATCTCCAACAAAAAAAAATGTTTCTAATGGAAAAATCATGGTACTATCAATTATAATTTACTACATGAACTTCTGAAGGCATTTGATATGGTAGCAAAGATGTTAGCGATGACAATATACAAATGAAGTTGCAATTAGAGATTGTTTCCTGTCAATAATTTATTGTTCCTACTTTGTGTCTTCTAATTAAACGCAATGTATTCTGGTTGAGTGACAAGTCATGTTTCCCACAAATATATTAGTAACTCGGATCAAAGAACAGAGTTGAATATTCAAGTTTGTAAATTAGAAAACGGAGTAAATGTGGAAATAGAAGCTGAATGTTAAGGGATAGAAAATAAGCCGTCAAGGGTGCAGACAGAATTCAAAGTGTACAAATGAGGTCATCCATCTAAAGTCTCTTCTTCTTGGAATTTGTTCACCAGCATGAGGAATCATGAAGTACACAATTGGTATTTAGCTTACGTTGACTTTTGTACAGCTGATGTGCTGAACCAAATAAGTTAACTGAAAGCAAATGGAATTTTATTTTCCGAGAATTTAAATGTAGAAGGAACCCAGATGGTAGGATAGGTGACCTTAAAAAGGGTTGCACTGGATTCGGAGCCCTGATATTAATCAAGAAATTGAATGGCCTCCTGCTGTTTCTGTTTGCATATGTTGCATAGAAGTTTATTTGATAGGGTACATGGAAGAGGCTTTTTGCCTGATAGCCCCTTGCTTTGGATTCCTGCTATCATAAAATTACAGAGATAACAAGGTGTAGAGCTGGATGAACACAGCAGGCCAAGCAGCATCCGAGGAGCAGGAAAGCTGACGTTTCGGGTCTGGACCCTTCTTCAGAAAATTTTCTGAAGAAGGGTCC